AACTCTCACGATCAGTGTGAGTAACAATGTGGCTTCACAGTGTTTCGACCATGAATTCGGCTGAGCGTACGAAACTTCGATATAATGAGTAAATCGCATTACCGTTATTTTCTTCGTTCTCTGCTGAAGTTCGTGACCTCTTCTGTGCCTCGACCTCCGCTCCATTTCTCGCTTCGTTTTCGGCTGAATTAATTGCTCTGTTCTGTGTTTCATTCTCCGCCGAGTTCTTTAATCTATTTTCTGCGTCATTCTCGTTTTCTGCTGAAGTTCGTGACCTCTTCTGTGCCTCGACCTCCGCTCCATTTCTCGCTTCGTTTTCGGCTGAATTAATTGCTCTGTTCTGTGTTTCATTCTCCGCCGAGTTCTTTAATCTATTTTCTGCGTCATTCTCGTTTTCTGCTGAATTCTTCGGTCCATTCCTTGCTCCAGGCTGTGTAGTGATAACCATGTTAGTGAAAGTTAGTACTCTAGTTCATAGATGTGGAACGTAGAGGTGAGTTAGTGTTGCTGACCAGCCGCCGCAAAGATGTCGTGATGAATGAGTAGCACTTCCCACTGTGATAAAACACCTAACAGATCATTATGTGTGGCATGTTTCTTGTTCTTCATGCGTGGGCGTACGTGTGCACATTAGATCCCTCGGTCGATTTTGAACTTCTGTCTGTCCTTTGAATGGTTACAAGGCTTCTGTCAACCAAAGGGTGAGAGCGTAGCTGGAAAAGCACACACTTTGTGTCTTATTGGGACTAAGCCTTTTGAAGAAGATAAAGAAAGAGGAGATGCTGTGATAGTGTGCACTTGTGAGAGCTCCCAGACATCACTACAAAACGCTGAACCGCCAAGCCTCACGGTTGACAGAAGTCCTGAGACCCCTTCTAATCAGTGTGAGGCTCACTGATCACTTTTGGAGCCCAATGTTCTCCCTATTCAATGATTTTGGAACTGGAGATCGGTTCTTCATTTTAGTCGTTTTCTCTTTATTCAGTACCAATGGCTCCATGCCGTCTTTTAGGCGAGGTTCTGCTATGATGGTGAGTTTTTCTCAGGAATTCTGACTTAAAGGAAGCGATTACGATAAAGAGGAAGCGCATCGGGGAAGCATATGCACCACACGAAGCAGTTACTTGGCTGCCAAGGAAGCGAGGTGTGGCGCTTTCACGACGAAAGGTGCGCTGGTTGCTGAGCAGGACTTCGAAAGCACTCCGCCCCAAAAGCGATCCGCCCACTAGTTTTTGGTGATTTGGACGAGCTGCGTTGCCAGCACAACTGGAGCAACTCGATTGGAGCGTGGTTTGGCATGGTGCTGCCAAACGCGTCGTGGTGAACTCGTTCACTGTTCATGAGTGAAAAGCAACGGCCAAAAAAGGGGTCCCGTTTTGCGTTTTCTTGACGGATTTCTCCGCTTTTTTCGCTACTGGCGTACCATTGAGCACCACCACGTCTCCTCTAAACCCTCTTCAAAATATCGTAATCGCTGCCTTTAAAGGCAGGGTCGTGATCATTGGTGTGTTATTTGTTCGGAAAATCGGACGAGAAGTGCGATTATGATCACTAGTGAGGGTGAGAAAGCAAAAAGCACTGTAATTTCCCGTCGCGAAACCGACCTGTTTATGATGGAAGGAACAGCTGAGCGGAAAAAATAAAAGGGTGTCTTTATGGCATTCAGCGGGCCGCTCAGGAAAAATGAAGCATAGTTCTATGTTTCATGTATGTGTCACTATACAAAAAACTGCTTTGAAACCCGGCATTGCTCAAAAGACCTTTTCTTGTAAGCGATGAAGTGGGAATGGATAAAGGATAAAGGATAAAGCATTTGCCGTTGATCAATCCCTTTTTGGGATGCGGCACGCATTCTACTTCCATTTGTACATTCGCAGTGGCGTTTGAATGCGATGTGGCCTATACAATGACTTGCGGGGGCCAGCCGATGTTCAAGTCAGTGTTTTTTTATCCTCCCAGACAAGTCTGGTACCAATTAACCGACCCCGGAGGGATGGAAGGCTTGGTTGGCCCGCGACGTCACGACCCAGGAATTTCGGCAATACCGGCGACCGCTCGCGATGGTAAAGACGTCGTCACTTGTCACCTCGCACCGAGCTTCCGCGCTCGAGCGAGTGGAAATGTCAGCTGCATAAATTATGAGCAAGCAAAATAGAGGCAGTAGTGAGGCGAAATTGACTTCAAAGCCTAAGCTCGCCTGTAAGCGTACTCTGGAGGCTGTCAAAGTGCAATAACCCTCGTGAATGCACATGTTTGGGCAATCTTATTAATGGAAATAGTCCACCTCAGCTTACTATGCGAACTGTCACCCCCCTCTCTTTCTAGGTAAGTTTGTTGAAATCGGGGCTTTGTTCGCGTTCGGCGTTCTCGGTCGAGCAACTCTTCCTATGATGGAAACCATAGGAGTCGCACGCCTACGAGGTATAAGAAGGTGGCGGCAGACCAGGAGTTGGGCGGACAAAAAGGCAAGTAGGCAGTATAAAGGTTAGGAACGCCATTTGCTATTGATCAAAGTTGCCTCGTTTTGGAATGCGGCGAGCTATTGCTACTTCATTTGCACCCCATTCGTATGGCGTTTTGAATAGCGATGTCCAGTCACAATCGACTGCGGGGGCCAGGCGCATTGACCAAGTCAGGTGTTTTATCCTCCTATGATCATAGTGTGGTAAAAATCTTAACGCACAATCCCGGAGGATACGAAAGGCTTTGGGTGGTGCGCGAGCCGGCGAACGACCCAGGTATTGATCGCCGGACGCGCTCGCCCGTGGTAAGGCGTGCACATTTCATCCAATTGCACCAATCTCCGCCCGCGAAAAACCCAGTAACAAATTGAAGGTGTACCAGTAAAATTCCTAGTGAAAGTCACAGCCCACAACGCTAAATTTCACAGATCGTGGTATAGCGCACTTTTTCCCTGCCATACGCTCACCGGAAATTCCTTTTGTTCAAGCCTGAAATTGTTGGGCTAGAAAAAAAAACAAAAAAAAAAAAAAAAAAAAAAAAAAAAAAAAAAAAAAAGCAGTAAGGCAGGTAAAATCACAGGAGCCGAGCAACAACAGATCGTGTGCATATAATGGCCCTAGTCCCTGTGATCAAGCGAAGAGGCATTCGGAGAAGCAATACTACTGCTATATACTTCCCTGATTCAAATCCTTCATCAATTATCTGGTTCAAGTTTGTGATTCCTTTTTTCTAAAGCATTTGAAAATGTTCGATTAATAAATGAAAGTCTTCAGGAAAATGAACTGGGAAATGAACTTTGGTGCCAAATGATCTTCACTCAAACAGTCGCTGCCTGAATCTCTTATCAGACGTTGATAGGCGTTGTTTTCAGCTCGGCGCATGCTTTTCCTAATTATTGAGTCAGCCCGTAATCCTCGTCGAGTGCTTTTTTCAATTAGTACTGGTCCTGCTCCTGATGCTTTGATTTACAGGAATATTCCGTTGGATTTTGAAGTTTCACATAGAATTGCCAGAGTCTTCTGTGCCTTCTGAAGCTATGCAAGGGTAGTTTTCATGTCTCCCACGCGCGATGTAGTGTCATTCTTTCTAAGGATGTTTTTCTTCTTTATTGCGTCTTCTCTGCCTTTATTAGTGACTGTCCTTCATCCTTTGGCAGTTCTTCTTTCTCACATCTAAGAAAGAGCAACTGTAGAACAACGAATGGCATCCATTAAAGGCAAAAGTCAGGCTCGTGTTTCGGCATTATGGCACCTGATATTGAGTTTAGAGATGGGAGGTGGAACGATAGTGAAGAAAAAACGAAAAAAAAACTGTCGACAACACCTAAATAGAAACCCATTCCTTCTAGCAGTGAAGGAGATTTGCTCGGGGGAGAGTCACGTCCAAACGAGTTTTCTGGATATGCCAGCCGTTCCATCGGTTGATACGGCAATCAACTCAGCTGATCTCACACGTTAGGCCAGCCACGCACCACATCCACATCTGTGCTGCCGGAAATTCTCGCAGCACGGCAGCACACAATTGCAAGGCCCTAGCGCCTTTGCCGCGCACTTCCTTGTCGCGACAACATTGATCGTTGTTATTTATTTTCGCGTCAAACTCCTCTGCTTGGAGACCCATATTCGCACCTATAAAGGACTTCCTCAATGATTATCCCTAATCCTGAATCGTGGCTTTAATAAGAAAAGAAGGCACAGAACTAAGCTTGCGCCATTGCTTGACTGGCCTTACCCCAATCAAGAAATTCTACGCTTTCTTATACAGTATGCGCCTCCTCATTTTCCGAAGGGGGGGGGGGTGAGCTTGGAGTCTTAGCAACCGCTCCCTCAACATAAGTTTCCTGCAGACTAAGAGAAAATACTTCGCCTTGATCAGCGACTATTGAACTTATAGAAATTTAGGCGAACAAACAAAGAATCTTCTTCGATTGCCGTTAACACGTTTATAATCTGCCTTACACACGAAGTCACCGAGCGGGAAATCAATTATCCAACTACGGCATAAGTTTCTAATATTAGTTTTTATTAATCATCGATGTCCATGCACCACCTGCATATGGTTGAATCGGATTTTTTTATAGCGCGGCATTTATCTTGATCAAAATACGAAAATGGACATTCAGGGCTCCATTTAATAGTTCCATAAATCGCATGCTCCGTGAAGAAATTCTCTAAACATTTTAGGCTTTTTCGTTTGTTCCAATTAAAGACTTGTCTGCGAGGTCTACGTAAAAAAGTAATATAGAGTTTCAGATGAAGCGACTGTGTAGCAAAAAACTGAAAAGATAAACATGCATTCACTTTTTTCACCATGAAGATGGAGAAGCTATCAACCTCTATTGTTCCAATCCACACACTTATCTTGTCATCGGCCATGGAGTTTTTTGATCTTCACATTCTAAAATCATTTTAAACATTTTCCTTTTTATCAATTTTTTTACATGATCATGCAATAAAAATCAAAGCGAAACTAACTGAACCAAAATTTTTATAGATTCCAAAAAACATTTTTAAATAAAAATATTAGCCTTTCTATAAACGCTGTCGTTGAAGTCACGTGCGTATCGCTTCCTAGTTAATTGTTGTCGAAAATACCCCATAAAGAAGTTACAAGCGATTGGTAAGTGATTATTAATTGGCAGCTCATATGAACTGCAACTGTTCCACGAGCACAATTCCCTGGCAGGCCATTTGGGCTGCCACCAGCATGAATGTCTTCAAGCACTCATAAAAATGACCCGATCTCCTGCAATTAGACTGCGTCACAAATTTTCGTTGCTCAAATAAAAATTTTTTTTACAAAACTCAGAACTGACTTTCGATCGTTAACTTGAAAAGACTCAAACTAAAATATGTCATTGAGCAGGAACTACTACTTTCCCACAAATAAACCCCTGGTTGGCTGATATAGAGATATTTCTCATGTCATTTTGAATGCTATGTCCCGGCTAATATTCATTCGTAGCCTCGCATTCAACTTCACCACCCATTTGTATAATTCTGGACAGCTATCCTACTCTCCTACTTCTCTCCTTTCGCGCGCCCCATCTCCATTTAATTACACACTAGACATCTGCCAAGCCCTCTATATTCGGAATAACGGATGTATTAACACGTCCTGAGGCATTCTTTTCAGTGTTCATTCGGTTCTCCAGGTCCTTCCGTGTTCAGAGTTTTCTTTTGTCGAATAATACGCACTTGATCGCTTAAATTACATACATTTTTATTAGTACCCCAACACTTCTAGAAAAATGACTACTTCTTCGAAGATGATAATTTGAAATTACGGCTCGCTTGTGCACACAGCGCCGAGCGTTTACGGCTTGTTATCTACTCTGCAGAGCGGTTTTACCATTACCATTATTACTGCAAACAATAATTCAGAGTTTTTTCCGACGAGGCTCTTTCTTGTCTTTGATAGAACATGAGAAAAAATGCGAAGTAATTTTTTTGTATGCTATACGAAGTTATTACGGGCATACTTCTAGTTTCTTGGTTCTGCTTCTGCTCACATACCTTTCTAGGGGAGCAAAAGAGATTGTGTTAAAGTCGCCCTTCAGCGATTCTTTCGTCGCACAGTTACCAAATTTTATAGAAGCTTCAGTACAGAATATCCCTTAGATGACCCCATGAGCACAAGCAGGCCCCTCTTCACTGCCCTCAACGTCCTCAGAAATATGTCATCTGCCACTGCCGTCCGGCTTCGAAGGCTTACCACACCTGCTCCAGCCTAAAGCTGCTACACGGCTATGTAGACTTCTCATTGAGCCACGCTTCTCAGAGAACGTCGAAATGGTACACTATCCGTAGAGGCCCTGTTTAGCTCGGGCAGCCCACCATGCTTACGGGGCAGATGTTTCTGATGCCGTCCACGTAAAGGGCCACTGTGAAGTTGGAGGAGTGTACTCGTTAATTTGAAGTCGGGAGCATTCGGTTTAAATTCAACAAAGTGATCAAATCCATTTGAGTGTGAAGATAAAATGTGAAAAAAATTTTGAAGACCACTTTTTTATTGCTCCCCCTCCCCCCCCCCCTCCGCCCCTGTATAGATGAATTAGTCTGGATGCGATATGGGGACCCACTGGAACGAGACAGGCCCTGCAGGCTCCGTGCTTTCGCTTTTGGAGTTGAGCAGCAAATTTCATAACCTGGTGGTTGAACCAGCCTGCAGAAGAGTGACCCAATAACCAAGAAGGTCAGAATTTTTGCATGTTTGCGATGCTATGCGACAAAGAGTTCCTCGCTGGAACGGGTCCCATGCAATTTAACGTTGAATGAAGAAGAGGAAGAGTAACAGCCAAACAGCCGGTGAAATACCATATTATCAAAAAAATGTGATCCAAATCTCAGTGCCGAAGATCGGAAAAAATTGCTCTACCCTAATTACTAAGGCCATCCTCATCAATGACGGCCTACTAGAATTTTTGTCAATATTGTCCTATCACCGTGATCTATTTTAACAATATCTTCTTCTCTCTATCGAAATCTCGACGCATTGTTTTCAGCTTTCATTCGTTATCCCCTTTTTTACCAATTTTTTCACCAATTTTTTTTTACTTTTTTCTATCATTACCAATCCTCACACACAATTTGTGCTCATAACCTCTCATCAACAAAATCGTTGGGCGCTTTTTCGAAGCGCTCCTTTGCAAGCCTAGGTACATGTGCATGGAGCACAGAAATGGGGTTCATTCTTCAAGCGGCTCTCGGGTTTCTAGAAATGAAAAATTTCCATCACAAAGTTTTCAGGGATTTTCGCAATTTTAAATTAATGTATAACATTTGTAGAATTAAATGATTGCACATTAAAAGGTTCTCGTTCAATGAAAGAGTCCAGGAATGTGTGATTCCGAGAAAACGGGAATCAGAGAAATGCAAAAATTGCTCATCAGCCAGGCTCGAGCCACAAACTCTTATTTGCGTTCCTTCGTGGCACACCTATGGCCCTTCAGAAAAACAAATTTCATGCTCATGGTCCATGGATGATCCTCCAATTAAAGGCAGAATTTACGATGAAAAGTTCTATGGAAATAAGGGTAGAGGTGGTCAGTGGAGCAGGGATGAAGAAGAAACCATTGAAACGGCCCAAACCCGAGAAATGGGACCCCTTCCTTGCCCGTTGATTGCGCATTGATGCGACTCTCATCGCTGTGCCCTCTTCAACACTACGCTCTCTCTGCTATCTAATCACTCGCCACGTATAGACCTGCGGCGAGTGATTAGATAGTCGGTGGGCGTACCCCGCCAACCGCGCCAAGAGTGAGCCATGCTAGATCGCCGAGGTCAAATCTTTCGCTGCCAATTGCGCGTCGGTCAGCACCCTCAGGAGGTCCGCCTGTCTCCACTATGCAATTTTCCCCTTCTTTCGACCTTCGTTTTTATCGTGGCATCCTCCTTTGAGCACGAGAAACCGTTTTGGAGAACCTCTCAACATCCTGAAGGGATTCTCTGTTTAGCGAGAATCTAGGGAGAGCTCACTTTTGCTCTACTGCTTTTGTTTCCGCCTCCTATGAGCCGCACCTTCTTCAGCATTCGCTTCCAGGAATATTCAAAAGCACTCTTTGAAGTTTAAATGAGGCTATTAGCCTGGCAAACATTCCCCTGTATGCACAGCGTGATGTTTCATTGCGGGATCGATAGAATGTAGTGTATTGCGTCAACATTCCGAGAGAGCGAGTGCTTCTGGATCTGGTCTTCTATTCAACGGCTTAGGTCCTTCTGCTAAGAACTATTTCTCTCTGAGCAACAATTTCTATAAAATGTTCTGTATCTCATTGGAACGTACATCGTGCACGCATGTATTGTGCATATACAGTAGCGGTCAAAAGTGTTCGCCGAAACGCTTTTTTCGAGTATTTCATTTTTCCCTCCAGAGAAAGATCTGAAAATTAGTTTGAGCCCTTCTTTCGAATATCTGCGCTCTTCAATAGTCAAGGTTTTGGAGACTTCAAACGGCATGTCTTATTAATACTTGAAACGGCACTGTTTAAAGGACGAATTCACGCTGGAAAGGCAACCCATTTCAAATTAACTTAGGATGGTGAGTGGTACACGAAAGAAGGAAAAACCATGAGAAACGGCCCAGAACCCGAGAAATGGGACCCCTTCCTTGCCCGTTGATTTGAGCATTGATGCGACTCTCATCGCTGTGCCCTCTTCAACACTACGCTCTCTCACCTATCTAATCACTCGCCACGTATAGACCTGCGGCGAGTGATCAGATGATCGGTGGGCGTGCACTGCCCACCGCGCCAAGATTGAGCCTTAATAGGTCGCCGAGGTCAACTGTTTCGGTGCCATTTGCGCTTCAGTCCGCACCCTCAAAAAGAATCCCGCGTAACCACTCAAATACTTGCAATTGCATCCTTCGATCTTCATTCTAATTCGTGAATTCGCCCTTTAATGTGAAAACAAATGATGCCAAAAAACATTCCTGCAAACATCAGCGCCTCTGACCGCTACTGTCTGCAGGCCGCCGTTCATTAGATCGCGGTTAATGCGATTTGACGATTTGACAATTTAGCAGCTATCGTTAAAGGAATGTATGCGTATCGACTAGAGGATCGTCGACATATCGTATCTAGGAATGGTTATTGGGCGGCGTCAGTTCAATCCGTGTGCACCCTAGTCCTTTGAACATAACGCCAAATTGTCGATCGCTCTCTATCGGTAATCGGCAACATTAGGAATCGATACGTATGCTTCTTCAATAATCCCAAAATCCGCATTAACGCGATCTATACACGGGTCCTAATGTATTTTCTATTCACCATATTGTTCCTCCTACATCAACGAGCCTACGTAAAGTTGACCTTCACAAGTGCAACAAAATTTCAAAAATTTGTTTTTCAGGACGAGAATGGGTGTTTCCGATGAGCAGATTGCTGCAAACAGGCAAGAACCGCTCCCGCCCCCCCTCGCCTAATGTAAAGACCCTATCTCCCACCCTTAGCTCAGGGATGTTGCAGCAACCTCTCTGGGTTGGAGAGGAGGATATCTCTGATACGGCCAAGTAGAGAAAATTTGTGATTTGATGGAAGTTGAATATCAGAAACGTCTCGATCTATTAATACTCGTGCGCCGACTACTAACTCCGTTCTATAATATTAGGTTGTCTCATAAACAGTGTCGCTTTTTTTCATCCAAAAAATTTTCATCTAAACCTCCATGCTTTTACATCGTGTTGTGTACCATTCGAAAGAGAATTGTCTGCTCTACAAAATGCTATGTCCCACTTCCACATTTCTTCCAGGGTTTTCAAATTTTGGGCCTGTGAAATGGGAGGTCCGGCCGACAAAAAATGGCCAAACCGACAACTATCTCTAACATTATCTTTCCTTGGGAGAAATCAATCTATGATGTACCTTCTACTTATGCATGACCTCTTCTAATCATTACACTACTAGGTTTTCCTACAAATCGCGTCGTTCAATTTCCAGAGCTGGTTTTCGTAATTAAACCAGAACTCGACGATCGAGCACCATTACCTGTGATCTAGGTCGAAATTTTTTTATGGCCGAGACGTTGAAGAACTGGTTGAATTTGAAGAACAAGTCATGACTAAGTTAGGAATGTACGACTGGTTGATTTTCTCATTTTCTAAGGGATAATTTTTTTCAAAGAAATGTGGTCACTTTCGCGGTAAAGCACCTTATACCGAAACATCTAAAATTCGAACTAATTCCCAACAAACAGAGAAACAAAACAAATGAGCGAGTAGAGCAGAAGAAGTGCTCGTAAAAGGAACACCACTCGATATGAAACAATGACGTTTACGAGGAACAATTTTAATTTGAAAATTGCTATGGCTTATCGGTCAGCCAATTCGAAAAGAAACACGGCAAAGCTTTTTCGGCAACCTAAGAGTGGAATGTTCAGAAGAGGTCATGAGTAAGTAGAGGGTACATCACTGATTGATTTCTCCCCAGGGAAAATAAAGTTACAGCCAGTTGTCGGTTTGGTCAATTTTTGCCGGCGAGACCTCCCATTTTGCTGGCCTGAAATTCGAAAACTCTGAAATAGCGGTGGAAGCGGAACACAGCATTTTGTAGAGCAGACAATTCTCTTTCGAATGATATATAAAACGATGTAAAAGTTTCATGATTTAGATGAAAATTTTTTGGTTGAAAAAAAACGAAACATATCACTTTATGAGACAACCTAAATACCATCTTGGGAAACAACCACGTGACGGGAACATCGCTCGAAACAGGGTCGCATTTCGAACCATGATGAAGGAGGAGTGTGAAATAATAAGAGCACAAATTGGTTGAAGATAAGGACTATTTAAATGAGCACTTCACGATAAGAGACGAAGTCGAAGAAGGGAAATTAATTTAGTGAGAATTAATGGGGACCTACAGGTGCGGCCGACGACCAATTCGCACCGCAGGTTATTCCCCCGCCGATCTAGCCAATGGTCCCGCGCCTTCATTGCGACCTATTGGGCCCGGTGCACAATCTCTCGCGTCGTCTCGTACCTGAGTCTCTAGCCGTTCAGCAGAGAGAGAGAGCGTTAGCTTTGAAGAGGGCAGCACTGATGAGAATCGCATTGGCCGCAAATCAGCGTTCAAGGAAGTTGTACTATTCCTCCAATTCGCAGCTTTTTTTTGTTTTTTTGTCTTTCGTGCATCACTGATACAATCTAACTTAATATCAAAGGGGCTGCCTTTGCATCGTTCTTGACGTGCAAGAAATTTGAACTGCGAAATCAATAGCAGCGACCCCAGCATAAGCCTAAGCCTCACGAATTCCCAAAATTGGCACGTTCTCCGTCGCTGTCGCAGCGCGCCGCTGCAGTGGGTGCAATCCTTTGACGCACTTCCTGCACATTCTAACACAGTTGAAGTTTGCTTTTGAACGAGACTGGTGACAATGAGCTGAACTCGAACATGAGGAAAAACGGACTAGAATTCCAGCGCAGACTAAGACTCAATAGTGTCGCTGCCGCTATTAACAGTGACGCCTATATACCATACAACACCAATTATGTGAGAACAAAAAACTTTACCCATCTCAGTGAACATCTTTTCCTATCATCGAAATTCCCAGCGAATGTTGAGGATTGAAGATCAACGTTTATTTATCACAGAAGTACTATTTTTGCACTTTTACTTCGTTTAGAAATCGATAGTCTCGTTCACTAGTATCGTATTTGAAAAAATTATGAAAAGAAACTTAAAGGCATGCCCCAGGATCAAAATGGTGTGGCTCTTGCTCACGAGTGCGAATGTATTGGTGTGAAATGGGCCGGCAGTTAAGAAAAAAGAAAAGAATCCGTCGAAAAAAAAACGCTCAGGTTCAGGGCTAGCTCACCTTCCTTATTGGCTGTGCTAAAGGAACGAGAGACTAAGCGCGAAGAGGAGAGTATGGGCGAGAGAGCGCATCGGATGAGAGAGCTCAAGGACACACTGTATATGATTAAACAATTTGCAGCTTGGGCAACTTTTTTGCAAGGCCCAAGCGCTCTTGTCGGTTGGTCTCCGTGCAGGGGAATGCCACATTTGTGATTGTCCTTCAGGGTCTATACTACAGACCGAAGGGAAGTGTTCACACCAAACCTGACCTCTGCCTGGGTTGTGCCTTTAAAGTACATGTTGATATAATCCCAGAACAGACTCTAACTTCTGAGCTCTTCAATTTCAGCCCGTACAGCAAATTTCCGGTCGGTGCTGCGTTGTTGACAGATGATGACACCGTTATTTTGGGTGGTGAGTTATGTTGAGTGTTTCCTTTCTATTTTATCTTACGTGCGCTTTGAAGATCAGTGAATGGGTAATGATTGTAGGTACACTGCTATTTAGTTTGGGACGTAAATTGTGTTCTTCAAAGTTATACAACCAGTGCTACCCCTACCGATCACACCTCCGGTGCTTGATAAGTTAATAAATAATAAGCTTGTTGAGTAGAAGTAGATCACGTCAATATTGTTCTGTGCCAAAGTCTTTTGCTGATAAAGTTGCGCAAAAATAATGTGGCTATAAACTTCAAAAACAGTTGCAACAATTACAAAACTGTATTTTGTAATGAGTATTCTAGAGTCTCAGATTGTTTTTTACACATTTAAAAATAAAATAAACACGGCTGTCCATGTTTTTCAGGCACGGCCTTAGACCTGAGAAAAGAGATCCTTTTTTGCCCGTCGATTTCCGCCTTGAACGAGTCAGCCACAAAGACGAGCTCTTAGCACGTCTTTAAAGGCAGAATTCACGATAAAAGTTAGCTCATTGGAAATAAGGGTAGAGGTGGTCAGTGGAGCAGGGATGAAGAAGAAACCATTTGAAACGGCCCGAAACCCGAGAAATGGGACCCCTTCCTTGCCCGTTGATTTCGCATTGATGCGACTCTCAATCTCGCTGCCCTCCTCCCTCGCTGCTTCTGCTATTGATCAACTCGCGCCGTGTGAGACCTTTGCGGTAGAGGGTAATCAGATAGTACGTACCCCAGCAATAACCCCGCCGCATAGAGTAGCCATGCGTGAGATTCTCCCGAGGTCAATCTTTTTGCTGCATGCGACGTCGCAGCACGCTCAGGTTGCGTCGGCCGTGTCTCGAACAGTGCAAATTCTCCCTTTCATTGACCTTTCCCTTTTTCTCATGATTTCCTCATTGAGGACGAATGCCTCTCGCTGAGATAGGCAATCCCATTTCTAAATCTAACACACAGGGTGGTGAGTGGTACACGAAAGAAGGAAAACCATGAGAAACGGCCCAAAACCCGAGAAAATGGACCCCTTCCTTTGCCCGTTGATTTGAGCATTGATGCGACTCTCATCGCTGTGCCCTCTTCAACACTACGCTCTCACCTATCTAATCACTCGCACGGTTATTGAACTATCAGATGATCGGTGGGCGGAGATCGCCAGACCCGCCAACTTTGAGGCGTAATAGGTCGCCGAGGTCAAATTTTTTCGATGCGAATGGCGCATCATTCGACCCTCATTAGAGAGTCCCCCTGAGGTTATAACAGCAGTGTTACTTTTCCTCGACCACTGTGTAATTCGTAGAAATCTCTTTTTAGGACGGCAGATGTCAAAGATAAACAGCAGGAATTAAGGGCGCGAAAGCGATAGGGAAATTGTATCGCGGGCGAGGGCGCGTCATTCGCAATGTTAGCTGATGGTGAGCGTAACCCATACAAGCGCCACCTACCGTGGTACGCTTCGCCTTCACGAAGTTGGGCTATGATTGGTTGGATGCTGGTAATATTATCGCCGCACTTTCCTCTTCATTTTAGAGCAGCGCTTTTTGTTAAATGGCATCGCCCTTAAGTTTTTTTAGTAATGCGTTATCCGTGAAGTTATCATTTGTTGGCATGGTACGGGCTTAGGATCTATGGGTGCAAATGATGAGCTACGTCGCGGCACCAAGGCTAAAAAAGCGATGAAAAAGGTACTGTTCCTCGGTTCGAGGTCCTCTCGAATTTTCCTTGACCAGTGTACCTTCTACCTCCCCTACATACTTCCTACTTAAATAGGCAAGCGAAAAACCTCTTTCTTTACTTTTATGTTGGGCACTTCAACACAGAAAAACACCTCTTTTCTTACTTGTTTATGTGGGCCTTTCAACGACCATTCTAACTGTTACAGTTAATTTCAGTCAACTGCGAGAATGCCTCTTATGGTGGGGCGATATGTGCAGAACGAAGTGCGCTCACATCAGCACTGACAAAGGGATATCGTAAATTCAAGGCGATTGCCGTAGGTGAGGAATAGCTTTCCCAGTAACGATTAAGAAATCCATGCGAGATTCCCAAAACGACAGCACAAGAGCTAAGCGCAGGACATGTCTGGCAGAGTCTAGTCTCCCTTTTGGGCTTCTGCTTTTCTCAATGTCCTGAGAATCATCGCTCTCTTCTCATATTACATTAAGCCGAGATCTTTTCTCTTTCTTTAAACTCGCGACGTGCAAGAAGAAGTTTTTACAATGATTAGGGTGAGAGGTTCTTGCTAACAAGAGCATGACTTTTCTGATCGCGGAACAGTCATAGACGTGGCTCATGGGCCAGCGAAGTATGCGTTGCCGGCTATATTCCGACACGTGTCTGATGACCTATATTTGGGCGGAAAGAAACCCACACTCTCGAGAAGCGCAAACAATTGGTTCTGATATCCTGCGGCATATAATGTACTTGATTGGCTTTCCAACAGTTTGGGTGCCGCTCCCATTATAGCTATATATTGTCTGGCCGGTATGCCTAAAAATAGATTAACAATGACCAACAAGTAGGGTCACAGTTCATCAGCATTAGAGTTTGCCAAGTGCCAGGCATAGTTGTGGGCAGGGCTTTCTTCCTCTTGATCCCCATGATCAATAAATTGGTATAACAAACAACGTTAAGCTGTCAGATTGCCACAAGGCCAATTCTTATGATGTGAGACCTGTACAGCCTGACGGTGGAACTTGACTACATATTGGATTGCTGCGCCTATGGTCGCTTTTGTTTGGTACACGTTACTATAAACAGTTCTTCAAAGTCCTTGAAGAGAGAAGTTATCCATAATCTTCAGGCAAACATTTGTATGTTGGTCATGTTACTATACAAATAACAACAATAAAATTTTATTACGCATAAGAGAAAAACACTTTGTGCTCGAGATGTGGGGCCTCTGTTCTCGAAGGTGTGGCAGATAATGATCACTTTTCGGCGTACGCTGGGACTTGTCCGGGCTGATTATTAGCATTTACTAGGCTTGAAAGTTTGATGGCCTTCACACTCAGATGACGATCACTGTGCCGCAGTAGCGGACGTCGGCGTTTGATGAGCTGAAAGGTAGTCTTCGATCGCAGTGAATTTTATCCGACGCAAGGTCAAGGCCGCGCGGGAACCGATTCTGCGGGGTCCAGGAAACGAGCTAGGCGAGTTGTTGTATAGAATCTGGGCTATGGATAGAGATGCTCTATCTGAAGTCGACTCGGAATCTGTATTCGACTTTGCGCTTGAGGCCCAATCCAATTAGACAAACACATCATAGGAACTGAAATCGTGTTCAGCTTGGTGTGTAGCACCAGGGTTCGAGCTCTCAGAATGTCTTGCTGGCTCTGATTCTAGACAACAATGACCCACCACAACTCTGCTAACTGTATGGTTCTGGTTTGTCACTGTCTTTTGTGTTTTTGGGGCATTTTGAAGGCTTAGGACATTCACTGGTCCTGAGCCCGACCATTGGCACGCTTGTCATTTGTGTAGATAAACTTAATCAAATGCCAGGCTCAGATCTACATCCTGGGTCCATAATCGAAAAACGAATGTTCAACGTAACACACCCATCATTCCGCAGGACTTCTTTTTTCAGCAGTCGTCTTCTAAAGGGACGAACCGTCATTGCATCGTTTCAGGCTAAGACTAGGGTCGCCTCCACATGCCCGCCAAAATCAAATGCTGGAAGAACTGTGGCCGTTCTTTCATTTTTTATGTACAGGATTTGGCTACCCAAATGTTTTGTCGGCGCCATTCTAAGTCGCTGAGACTTTCAGACCCGATTGACACCCAATTTCGAATTGTTACTTCTTGCATGTGTCGGGTTGTGGCGGTGTGGGGGTCTTCTTTCTTAAAGACGAAAGATGCCTTTCAAGCACGACTGCCGAAGAAAGTTTGGAACTCCTGAAAGTCTTCTCGCAGAGGAAGGGGCGTCCTCCGGGAGGAGTTTGACGTCAGCTACTCTTGCAGAGCCCACTAGTCAGAGTCAGTGAAGACGAGATCTTCAAGGCCATGTATCCGCTACCCAACAGAGTCAGGCCATCCGTCTGAGCACTTCTTTATAGCAACTGTACTGCCAGCATGTTATAAGCGTTATATAAAGACATGAACCCCTCTGACAGATTGTAATATAAGATTCTCTCGACTCCGTTTAAAAATGGTCAACGAATCTATGCGCCAGGAGATATTTAGTAGCCACCCTGTATTTCGTAAAACTTCAGGCAGCATTACAATGTGTGAAACTCTTTCTCGACGATTACACATGTGTGATGTCAATCACAGAACGGAGGGCTTCAAAATGTTCGCCAAAATAGTGTTGAGCAATCAGAATTACCGTGACGATCATTGTTGTCATCACCTCATGAACATGAAGCACAATCTACGATTAGCTGACACAGGAAGAATCACTTCTATGCGAAAGATTTCAGAGGCAAACCCCGGGATAAGGCTCACTAGTAGGAACCACGCCAGCAGTGAACGTGTTGACTCTGTACCTAGAAGGGCATGCGAGCATCGTCGTACAAATGCGAATGGCGCTAATCTATATGGTATTAAAGCCATAGCAATGCTTGTCCACCAAGAGGCCCGTTGCGTGGCGATGGAAGGGGCGCAGTTGCGGCAAAGGACGAGTCGCACCGCGTGCTGTGGGATCTGAGACGTAGTATGGTACACTATGTTTAACCTGACGCCTAACCGCTACAGTATGCGCTGCGACAGTATGCGCTGCGAATCGTGCGACGGGCCTCTTGGACGGCCACCCCACCACCTCTCTCGCGATTGATGTGGGCCGGGTTGATTCTGCCTGCTCTCTCGTAGGCCGTGATCTCTCGCATGCTTCCTCTTCTCTGGTCTGGCCTGCCTCCCCACCATACCTCATCCAACCTTACTGAAAGTTTAGTCCCTTAATTTTACCGTTTTTGTTGGTTTTTCCTGCTTTTTCCCACTCTCAGCTCCCCGCGCAGCTCATACATTCGTTATGAAGCGTTCTCATAACATCAACTTTAGCCCTGGGCCCTGCCCTTGACACATGACGACGGCTCGTTTTGCGTGTGACTCTGCATCTTTTTGTTTTTTTTTCTTCAAAATCGTCATTACTCCTTCAATAATTAGTAGTAATTAGTGCACGGTTTTCCTAGATTGTATACAGGCAGTTCTCAAATATGGAAAATGCCAGACAATCAAATAAAATGAGTCTGATCGGGTGAAAATGCGACGCGCATGAGTGTCATGCTCTCGCCAAGCGCAAAAGGCATGCTAATGTGCTGGTTTTGTGCAGTTCATGGTTGTGTTGAAAGGATAAAGGATTAAGGATAAAGCATTTGCCGTTGATCAATCCCTTTTTGGGATGCGGCACGCATTCTACTTCCATTTGTACATTCGTAGTGGCGTTTGAATGCGATGTGGCCTATACAATGACTTGCGGGGGCCAGCCGATGTACAAGTCAGTGTTTTTATCCTCCCAGACAAGTCTGGTACCAATTAACCGACCCCGGAGGGATGGAAGGCTTGGCCCGGGCGACTCACGACCCAGGATTTGATCCCCGGACCGCTCGCGTGGTAAGCGTGCCACTTGCCACTACACCACTTCCGCCCCCGTTGAAAGGCATGGAACAAGGAATTACGTTGCTAGATTGACATTATTTCTTGAACGCGGACCCGTTTTGAAGATGATGCCAAAGCGCTCTGCGCCCCTTATCTCTGTGCCCTCTCATCCACTCGTTGCCTGTTATCTCTCCCCGGCACCCACTGTTTCTTTTGTCGTGGACTCGTGCAAGCTCCAAAATGAAATGCAAAAGTAAGCGCCTCATTCAGGGTGTATTCATTACTTTTAATTGGCTCTCCTAAAGTAGAAGCTAAACAAGCCATTAGTTCCATTTTTGAATTCCAGTAGTCACTACTTGTCGTTAGAAATGGGCTTTCAAAAATATTCGTGTAATCGTCTGTAAAAGTAAATAGCGTGATGATCGAGTGTTTCCAGGTCATTCTTGGGTCGTCTCATAGTAATCGTGTAAAGAACACTACGACTGCCTCACTACTGCCACTTGCTTTCACGCCTGCATCTCTGGACGAACACGCAGAACAAGTCAATAAAACCTGAACACCTTTTTATAAGGATGAACTCTGGTCTTTGCTTATGATAGAAACGTTTATTATCAGATGATGATGGAAAATGCTATAAATGTTTGAGGAAAATTTGACTGGCTTTCCCACATTTGAAACACAGTATGAGAGACCTTCAAAGTTCCAAATCGTGTGATTCTCAAACACGAAAGTGAACGAACTGACGCGAACTGGGCTGGCAGTAAAGAAAGAAGGAAAAGAATTGATCGATGACTCTGAAGTTTAGAGCTTGCTCATATTTGTGCTATGATAAGGCGGTGAAAGACTGAACAAGGAAGAGAGAGCGTTGGTAAGAGAGAACAACGGATGGGAGAGCACACACTAGAACCACGTGGAGGACGGAAAATGGAACGGGCAAGTGAACTTGCCCTGTTGGCACTTCAGATCTGGAGCTACGGAACATCTGCGACCTTCGTGATCATCTCTATCCTACCCATCGAAAGGATTCGTCCATCTGAATCCATCCTGAGTTGTGCTTTGATTCAGTTACAGCTACTGACCAGAAAATGCTTTCAACTTCCCATGGAACTATGAATGGAGACTGGGATGAATCAATAGAGTAATGAATGCTAGTTACAAATATTGAGACCAAAACTGCTACGTGAACATTCCAAGCAAATCGTGGGCGGTCAAAGTTGACAGGAAGGGTAGCGTCAGTATAGGAGGCGAGCTAATCTAACCGCATCGGCGTTTTTAGTTTTTCCTGAAACAGTACCTATAGGGGTAAACAGATGGCCTGGTCACGAATATGACATTCATTTTGAGACAGAGGCGATCTGGCGCCAGTTTGGTGCCGCAACTCACTTTTTACTGCATTTCTTGCCAACTTTGACCGCTCACAACTTGCCTAGAAAGGTCGCGTAGCAGTTTTGGTCTACATATCTGTGAATA